AAATACAGAAATACATTGCCATTTTGCATATTGCATTGCCATTTTGCATATTGTATTTTAAATTGAATTTCGCTACTTATATGCTTCCATAGTTGTGATCTGAAGCCTTTAGATTAACCAGAGTTCAGATTTCATCAATTTCACAACCCTCCTAATTAAAGTCACAGACCCAAAAGCAGGAAACAAAAGGAAACATTCTTTACAGACTTACGAGGATCTACAGAAACACTGAGCATATACAGATGTCCACAGCTGCAGTGAGAACATGAGTATGACTGTCACTTCCAGTTCACACAACATGCTCTATAGATACAGCTCTCTGAGTATCCTGCTCACTGATACCTGTGCAATGGTTATGCAGCCTGTATGATATCAATATTTCATTGTTAAGTGTCATGGTCATCATCAATACTGATACTGCAGCACCCCAAGCTGCGATCGATTGTGTGTTCATCTTATTGCTGTACTTATGTGCGTATAAGAATATTTCTTGCTCTGCAAGAAAAACACACTTTAGAATACTGTTCCATTATTAATGAATAACTACACAAGAACACATGAGTAACACAATATTAGCACTCTAGTAACTATGTATCAAGAAACTCTGATTATTGAATTAGTAAGTAATAGTGCTTAGTCAAATGTGGTAGTTCACTATTAGCTAATAATCAGTAACTACTATTTTTTTTCATACTCCTCCAAGAACTACTAAGAACTACTGTATACAGGTTCATAATTAATAAGAATAATGCATAATGTATAATTAATTCTAAAGTGAAGGTCATGGTAACCCACTAGTAAGGACTCAAGTATTACCAAATTCTTCTAAAGGAATTACTAACTTTTTGGATCAGTATACTAAAGTGAAGATCATGATAGCTCCCTGGTAATTACTGAAATCATTGCAAACTTTTGAGGTTTTTTGTAAGTTTCTGGTTAGTAGTTCGTTTTGCCTGATTTGGTAACACTTAAATCATTACTAGTGGGTTACCATGACCTTCACTTTAGAATTAATTATACATTATGCTTAATTGTAACGAGTCAGTCCACTGAAAGCGAGCGTAGTGAGAACCCAAGTGCAGTTTTATTTACAGTGTGATCCAAACATCCAAACAATAATCCAAACAAGATACACAGACTTGACTTGACTTGACTTGACTTGACTTGACTTGACTTGACCAAGAAGTGGAATGATTATCTTAACAGTACAAAGACATCCTGTGAGTATATTTTCACATTTAAAAAGCAGAGAGTTCTAATGAAAATTAAAAGGTCAGTTAATTTCACAAGAAATCCATATTGTTTCCAAAAGTTAACAATTCAAATGAGTTGAGCGAGAATTACAGAGGGATGGAACTGCCTGGCTTCATGAACTACAGAATGTTTCAGAAGATTCTGCAGGACCATGTGGCCAAACTTAAGGATCCAGCCATGAATTTACTCAATGCCATAAAAGGTACCATCACACATATTTGTCTTTAAATACTTTCTGGTCATTGTGGAGAGCCTCCATTTTAAAACCAATAGATTAGATCAAGAACTGAATGACTAGTTTTAGCACCTCTTTGTTGTTCATTGTGTATTTCTTCTGAAGACCTCATCATCAAGCAATTCACTGACGTGGTGAGTGAATGTTTCCAGAACTATCATGTCCTTCAAAACACCACTAAGGTAAATAATGCATTTCAATTGCTCCTCAAATAATGAAAAGATTGTAGTCCAGTTTGATCAAGTTTTCTTTCCTTTGTACTTTACTTGATTCTGTAGGACAAAATCAACAACATTCAGTTAACCCAACTAGAAAAGGCGGAGCAGAGAATCTCAGAGCAGTTTGAAATGGAAAACAGGATCTACACTCAAGATCCCATTTTCCTGAAGATCTTGAGTGAGATTACAAACGAGACTTTTTCAGAAAAGGAGTTACCTGTCTTTGACAAAAAATGCAAGTATAGTCAAATGCTGGAGGCGTATTATGAGGTAGATCTTATTAGTTTTCAATAACAAATTGCACTGTGCTTGTGGTGTGAGGATGCAACTTATCTAATTGTTTTCTTTCAGATTGTGGTGCAGCGGATGGCTGACCAACTGCCCATGATGATCACCTTTTACATGTTGCAGGAGACTGCTCAGCTCCTGACTATTGACACAATGAAATTACTGGAAAAGCCAGATGTGCATGAGCTCCTGTCTGAGGACTCTGATGTCAGCAAAAAGCGCAAAGACCTAAGAGCTCGTCTGAATCGTTTGACTTCTGCTACAAAAGCAATTAGCATTTTTTTTTTATGACTAGAGGATATATCTGAAAATACATCCAATGTATCTAATGTTCATTTTGTAATGTATCTGACAACTTCTATCCAACCATCCATTTTCCACGCTTGTTCAAGCGTTGGAAGATTTGACAATTTAACCCATAAAACTTTCGGCAACACTTTAGAATACTGTTCCATCATTAACTACAAACTACACAAGAACACATGAGTAACACAATATTAGCACTCTAGTAACTATGTATCAAGAATTATTGAATTTTGAATTAGTAAGTAATAGTGCTTAGTCAAATGTGGTAGTTCACTATTAGCTAGTTCATAATTAATATGAATAATGCATAATGTATAATTAATTCTAAAGTGAAGGTCATGGTAACCCACTAGTAAGGACTCAAGTATTACCAAATTCTTCTAAAGGAATTACTAACTTTTTGGATCAGTATACTAAAGTGAAGATCATGATAGCTCCCTGGTAATTACTGAAATCATTGCAAACTTTTGAGGTTTTTTGTAAGTTTCTGGTTAGTAGTTCGTTTTGCCTGATTTGGTAACACTTAAATCATTACTAGTGGGTTACCATGACCTTCACTTTAGAATTAATTATACATTATGCTTAATTGTAACGAGTCAGTCCACTGAAAGCGAGCGTAGTGAGAACCCAAGTGCAGTTTTATTTACAGTGTGATCCAAACATCCAAACAATAATCCAAACAAGATGAGTTGAAGTGAGAACCCAAGTGCAGTTTATTTACAGGTGATCCAAACATCCAAACAATAATCCGAGACTTGACTTTACATGAACAGACTTGACTAGACATGAACAGACTTGACTTGAACAGGCTTGACGAGGCATAAACAGACTAGACTCACCGAAAGCGGGTTACAACATCAAATATATGACCAGGGCACAATGGGAACATGATGGCTAGTTATAGCAGACAAGGAGGGTCACATGACATGAACAAACCAATGGGAAATGAACAGGAACAGGACAGGCAATGAATTCATGGACGGCCTTCTTAGTCGTGACAGGGCAGACTGTGAGTTCGTGAGTGGCCTCCGTGGCCGTGACAGGGCAGGCAGCGAGTTCGGAAGCGGATGCCACCACCTCAGGAGGTTCTGCAGCGGATTCATACACAGGAAAGGCCCTTGGTGCAGACTCATGGATAGGAAAGGCCTCAGGGACAGACTCATAGGCAGGAGAGGCCACTGGGGCAGATTCATAGACAGGAGAGGCCTCTGAGGCAGATTCATGGACAGA